GGCTAGAAATTGAATTCAGATCAGTTTATTCTTAGTTGCATGACGAAGACAAGTATAGAGTCAAATAAAAGTAGGTCAGGCAATAGTTTCACAGATCAGTACAGTGTAGAGTATACAAAGGTTTATCGCCCTTCTTGGAGATGTTTTATTATGGTATGTAGCAACAGAAGGTCAATTTTTTCTTTAAACAAAATATTGTTTGATTGTTCAAGCTCTTTTGAGTTGAAGATATAGCAATGAAGCTTAAGAGAAAACTAAGAATTAGCTAGAAATTGAGTTGAAATCATATGTAATCTTCAGTTGAAGATGGGCAACATAAAAGAATTCTGGTTGGTCTGTGAATTTGTCTGCAGCAACTCTGGCCATTAATATGTATTATGTAAGAGAAACTGGAGACTTGGTTTGAATGTTTTCATTCACACACCAAACCCTTTGTGTTACTTTCTTTATATAGACATATTGAAAACTGATATCAGAACATTGAGGAGTCAATTTTGTACAGCAACTAACAAAGAATTGAGCTATACAGGATTAAGTTTAAGTAAACGAATTCAAAAAAATAATTGTCATCAGAAATGCTGGAGCATAGGCTATTAAACTACACTCTATATGTAGCTCCAATATTCTGTGTAACATCCTCCAGTAACACTAGAGTCGAATTTTAATTTTGTTTTCTTTTCACATATTCAAGGTTTGATGGCCTTCTCTTTTCTTCTCTTTTTATTTTTTGTTTTTTTGTTTTTGGGATGCAAAGCCTACTTGGAGTTAAATGATTTCTACTACAATAAATTATAGTTTACTTTGGTTACCCTACTTGATATATTTGGCTAATTTGCTTCTTTTTGCAGGCCTTTAACTTGATAAAGCCTATAGCATCCGTGAAGTTGTCCATTACATTGAGTTTTTCTTCAGAGTTGCCAGAGTATGTCATTGGTGATGAAAAGAGGCTAATGCAAGTTCTTTTAAATGTAGTGTGGAATGCCCTGAAGTTCTCGGGATAGCATTTTCATATCTGCTTTTGTTTGTCCAAAAAAAACTATTCATTTGGAAACTCCTTTTTATTTTGGTGGTGATGTATTACATTTTAATGTTCAAGTGTATGGATTCAGAAATTTGTAATAAAATTATCAATTTTTATGCAATTTTAAAATTTGTTCGAAAGGAGTATTTTCAATTTTACCGGTAAAAGAAAAAAAAAGAAAAAAAACCGTAATATGACCTAGCGATGGCAACTGAGTCGAGTGGCTCGCCGGCTAGGCCACTCGGCTCGACAAAAACAAGCCCAAGCTGAGCCTTCTCGGCTCGTTATTCAGATGAGCTGCTCGCTAGCAGGCCCACATGGCTTGTGTTTTTGCGAGCTACTAAATAAATAAGAAATTCAGCGACCAGAACGATCACTGAAGTTTCAATGACCTTTTCGGTCCTTGAGTAATTTTTTTTCTCATTTCATTTTTCTTTCCTCTATAGATACTTATCCATTACAGCATTATTTTCCCACCAAATTTACTATCATTCTCTTATTCTCTACTCTACTCTACTCTACTCTCTACAATTTACAAATCATTATCAACAATATCATTCATTTATTCTATAATTCTCTTCTACATTTTTTACATTATTATCTTAATTTTACAACCCATTTATTATCATCATTCTATAATATATATTCTTCTACATTTTATTTTTACACTGTCAAGTTAAAATCTTAATTTTACAATTTATTTTCTACAATACTACATAATCTTCATTCACTTCTCAATTCTACTTTAAGTCTTAAACATTCAATTTCAATTATTCAAAAATAGATCAACAATCGTTTGTTGAAAACTTGTTCTGTGTCGGAGGAGAAACACTCGCTCAAAGTCAAATTGGGATTGAATTCATCGGTCTAAATGAATTACCCCTTCCAGAAAATATTCAAGATTTCGACGTTCATGAAGGTAGTCATCCATTGATTTGAATGACGTTGATGTTGATGCTAGTCATCTAATTGATTTGGAAGTCGATGAAGAACGTGCAGTAGATATTCCTGATGCAAGAGTGAAGAGAAAGGTGAAGAAGCTGACAAAATGTTGGGACCATTTTAAATTGGTTCAAACTGGTCGGTGATCAATAGAGTTCCAAAAACCAAGGCAGTATGTAAATACTGTCAACAACGATTGACATGACAAAAAGGCATTAGAAACACCAACCTCAACCATCACTACAAAACATGTGCGGCCAAATGGGCTTCTTCCAACTGGTCAAACGTAATCACAGTTTTGTAGTCCAGGCGTCGGAGCTTACATTATGTATTTGTATTCATTTGTTAATTCTTTGTAAACAAACAAGTAGACATAAATTGGATTTCAGAAAAACATTGACATTTTATATTATATTTATATTTTTTGGGTTTAATAATTAAGATTGTGATATTGGCACCACCCTCATTTATCCTCTCTTTTTCATGCATTTACATTACACACTCTCTTTATAAGAGTTAAAAACTATAATTGTTAGAATCACTTTGATATCAATTTATTGAGAACCCAGGCCAAATAATAAAGATGAGAAAATAAGTAATATGAAAACTTTCGGATTCACACTACAACACAAGATTTATATGGAAGAAAAGAATAATCTTGTATATCAAGAAACTAAAATTATGTTTATAAGATTTGATACTCTCAATCTAAATATAAACAATTTTCAAATTTTAATGTATATAACAATAATCTAATTGTTATGTTGAATCTATGAAGAATCTTCACCACGTGGAGTATATATAGAAACCCTTTACAAATATTTTGGTTGAAATATAACCCAAGGAATGAGCCAGGATCCAAAAAGGATTCCCATCCGAATAACACCGTCGCTCGAGCACTAGGCGAGCACCAACCTCTGTTCAATTTTTCACCCACGATACTCGAGCGCCAAAGCTAGCAATCAGCTAGCGAAATTGCAGCGATTTTTTCTCCGCTAAAACTCCAAAACCAAGTCTTCAATTATCAAAAGTCATTTTACCAATTAACCTTTCAATCCTTGATGAACTTTGATTCAGTTTTTGACCGGATTTCAAAACCAAGAAAACTGTTATTCCTTTCATCAATTTACCAACCAAATCCGAATCTCAATATGATTTTTGGTCATACTCTAACAATAATCATACTTCTTAATCATTCACTAAGTATGATGTCTATCATATTTCTTAATGCTTCGAACTCTCCACTAAAAGAAGATTGAATAAAATTATTATGGTCCCAAGTTGAGAAAGTCCACTTACGTAAACACAAACACCGTGAATAGTGAGTCGTTGTTGGAATGCAGCTTTCAGAAATGAATGGAAGATTGAGACCCTTGATACCACAATGAATGATTGTCTAATTTGAAGAACTAAAAGTATATAATTTCATTTTTTATTTAAGATAATAATAAAAGGAAAAAATGCAAAAATAAATTTAATAATAAGTTCAAATACAATTTTAATGTTACATTAAAAAATGAAAACCCAACTAAGTGTGTTATAGCTAATAATTTAATTTCTTCATATGGATTGCATGTTATTTCTATGTGAAAAAATCAACGGTTTAGTTTAGTACCAAATCATTTCGTTCACTGATCCACGTTCATGAAGGCGATTTCAACTTGATAATTTTTACTTATAACCCCTTATGTCTGGCGGTGGTGTGACTCAATTATCATGCCTTAATAGTGGAGGGTTTAACTTTTATTTCAGAATAAAAGTTGGAACTCCCCAAAATCATGCATAACTTCAATTTTATTATAAGTAGTTTACGATACGTATTGCATCAAAATTAATTTTATAGAAAATGTTACTTAATTGAGCATTATAAGCAACATTAAATTTTATCTTATTGTGATTATGTAATAAAATAGTATATTATCCATTAAACGTAACCAAATTACAATGAATGTAGTAATCTGATCACCGTAAGTGAAGTTTTATACTACATGCTGATAGTTTTATGACAAATGAAAAGGAAATGAAAATAACAAATAAAACATAATTACACATTCTTGATCTATAAAAAGGAAAAGAAAACAAAACAAAAAGAAAAGAAAAGATTAAAGAACTACTTAAAATGGGGTCTTGTGCTCATCATATGTTGTGCAGTTTTTCTCTTTCCTCCCCCTCCTCTTCTATTATAGATAGAAGCACTATGAAACACCATATGGTTCATATCCTCATCCAATCACAAGTAACAGCATTCATCTTTGATTTTTGGTATCTGCAAATATAGGTTTCCATCTACGGCTCATTCTCGTTTACGTTCACAATTTTCACAATTTCTTGGCTGCAAATGACATCCCACAAAGAGATCCATTACAAACGTACATTGTTCATGTTGGGCCACCTGATGCACAAAATTTCAATCGGTCACAAGATTTAAAAATTTGGTACCATTCATTTCTGCCTGTGAAGGAAACAGAGCGACAAATAACACTAAGTAAACGATTCTCAAAATTAGGGGCTCAGAATATTCACAAAATATAGGCAACCACATCACTATAGATTAGGCTGAGATCCAACGGACCAGAGCAGCACACGTGGCATCTAAATTTGGGCTGGGTCTTAGGCTTATTTCATTTGAGTTATTGGGCAATGGTCCTTCAAAAAATATTTCAGCAGCTTTTGGGCTTAGCCCACTTTTTCATCATCGCCCCATGTAAGAAAATAAATGTCACAAATGGCATCGTATTTCAACACTGCCAAAAATTCCACTCAGTCCGCGCATGATCTATGCTTATAACAACGTACTGAGAGGTTTTGCTGCTAGATTGTCCACTAATGATGTGAAAGAGAGGGATAAGAAACCTGGATTCATCTCGGCGCTACCCGAACAAGTAGCGTCCTTACAAACAACTCATAGTCCCGACTTCTTGGGGTTAAATCAAAATATGGGATTCTAGAAAGAGTCTGATTATGGTAAAGGTGCAGTCATTGGTATTGTAGAACCGCTAGAATACTGCCTGATCATCCGTCATTGAATGACGAAGGAATGCCTCCCCCACCTGCTACATGGAAGGGATATTGTGAATTCAACTTTATGGCATGTAATAACAAAATTATTGCTGCAAGAAATTTCCTAAGTGGTGATGGAACCCAATTGGATTTTGATGGCCACGGGACACACACTGTAAGCACTGCTGCTGCTAATTCCGTGAAAGGTGCCAATGTCTTTGGAAATGCTAATGGCACTGCAGTTGGAGTCACCCCCCTTGCTCACTTGGCCACTTACAAAGTCTGTAGCAATGTGTCTTTCTGCCTCGAGAGTGACATGATGGCAGCAATGGACATTGCCATTGATGATGGTGTCAACGTGCTTTCCTTCTCGCTTGGTATTTCAGTCAATCCCTTTTACAGTGACAAGGAAATAATGGTCCATCACCTGCTATGTTATTGAATGAGGCTCCGTGGATTCTCACAGTTGGTGCAAGCACCATTGATCGGAAACTAGCCGCACTGGTTGTTCTAGGGAACAACGAGGAGCTTGAGGGAGAATCAGCATTTCAGCCCAATGATTTCCATCCAAAACAACTTCCCATTGTTTACCCTGGATTGAATTCTAGTAGGTTCTACAACACCAATGACTACACCTTAACCATAATCAGACTCTTTCCAGAATCCCATATTTTGATTTAACCCCAAGAAGTCGGACTATGAGTTGTTTGCAAGGACAGTACTTGTTCAGGTAGGGCCAAGATGAATCCAGGTTTCTTCTCCATCTCTTTCACTTCATAAGTGGACAATCTAGCAGCAAAACCTCCCAATACATTGTTATAAGCATAGATCATGCGCTTACTGAGTGAAACTTTTTGGCAGAAATGAATGGTTCCAAATTTAGAAATCTTGTGACGGATTGAAATTTTGTGCATCAGCTGGCTCAACATGAAAAATGTACGTTTGTAATGGATCTCTTTGTGGGATGTCATTTGCAGCCAAGAAATTGTGAAAATTTTGAATGCAAGCGAGAATGAAAAGAAGATGGAAATCCGTATTTGCAGATACCCAAAATCAAATATGATATTTATAATAGAAGAGGAGGGGAGAAAAGAGTAAAACTGCACAACATATGATGAGCACCAGATCCCATTTTAAGTAGTTCTTTAATCTTTTTATTTATTTATTTATTTACTTTTATTTTCTTTTTTATAAATCAAGAATGTGTAATTACACTTGTTTTTTTTTTTTTTTTCCATTTCCTTTTCATTTGTCATAAAACTATTAGCATGTAGTATAAAACTTCACTTACGGTGATCAGATTACTACATTCCTTGTAATTCGGTTACGTTTCATGGATAATACATTATTTTATTACATAATCATAATAAGATAAAATTTAATGTTGCTTATAATGCTCAAATAAGTAACATTTTCTATAAAATTAATTTTTATGCAATACGTATCATAAACTACTTAAAATAAAATTGAAGTTATGCATGATTTTGGGGAGTTCCAACTTTCATTTTGAAATAAAAGTTAAACCCTCCATTATTAAGGCATGATAATTGAGTCACACCACCGCCAGAAATAAGGGGTTATAAGTAAAAATTATCCAATTGAAATCCTCTTTACGAAAGTGGATCAGTCAATGATATGATTTGGTACTAAACTAAACCGTCGTTTGTTCCCACTAAAATAACATGCAATCCATAAGAAGAGATTAAATTATTAGTTACTACACACTTAGTTGGGTTTTCATTTTTAAATGTAACATTAAAATTGTATTTGAACTTGTTATTAAAATATTTATGCATTTTTTCCTTCTGATATTATCTTCAATAAAAAATGAAATTATATACTTTTAGTTATTCAAATTGGACAATCACTCATTATGGTATCAAGGGTCTCAATCTTACATTGATTTCTGAAAGCTGCATTCCAACAACGACTCAGAATTCACTGTATTTCTTTTTGTGTGTGCGTGTGTATATATATAGGGGAGTGTTCCTCCTACCAATACTTTTGACAAATAGTTTTGACAAAAGATCTCACCCTTTAATTTAATTTAATTTAATCTAACGGTTTAGATAATTTAACAATGATTCTTTTAAAAGTAAAAAAGGAAAACCTCACGACACACCACCATAGTCTAGGGTTTGGTTGTTTTTCATTTGCCTTTTCTATGAGGGTTCTCAACTGTTTCTTCTCAGTAAGGATTTTGAGAATGTTGAACAAAAAGGATATGTAATTGTGTTTCCAACAAATATTATTTGTTCTCCATTTTTTTATTTTTTCTTCTTCATCAAGATTTTCTCCCAAGCAACCTCGATCAAGTCAAAGAATTATTAGCAAGGGATTCCTCATAAACCGGCAAAAAGGATATGTAATTGTGTTTCCAACAGATATTATTTGTTCTCCATTTTTTTATTTTTTCTTCTTCATCAAGATTTTCTCCCAAGCAACCTCGATCAAGTCAGAATTATTAGCAAGGGATTCCTCATAAACCGGCAAAAAGGAGCATTTAACAATATAGACATATCATCTTCTTCACCCCACTCCACCCACCACCGCAACCTTTTCATCTTGTTAAACTGGCAAACATGGTGCAATATTCCCCCTAACTTCCTAGTTAAGCCTTCCCTCCAACCCAACGAATTAAGGGGGGCTATAGATCCCCTACTACTACAAAATTTTGTGGGATTTATCCTCACATTTTCCTCCTCACCACCCATATATCTCTCAATTGGTGTTTTTTTGTAGTATGATAGTTACTGATTTTCCAGAAGAACAATAGACCCAAATTAGGATGAATGAATTGATGATGGAGAAATGTAGCATTTGGAATTTAATAAAACTATTGAGGATTCGAAGAGAGAGAGGGTGGGAGTAGGGCGAGGAAACGTAAAACAAGATTTTATGGTTGGGGGGGGGGGGGTCCCTTTTTAGCATATAATGTCCCACCTTTCATTGTTATTTTCTACCTTTTATTTTTTTGGCATTTTTACCCTTATTTTACCTTTCATTGCGCAAAAAGGTCCTTTTCACCTATTTTCTCAATTAGAAATTATGAAATAACGAATATACCCTACTCTTTAAATAAAACAAAAAGAAAAAGAAAAAATTATTTGCAATCGCAGTCCTAATTTTTTTTTTAAAAAAGCACAAATAAGTTACAAATAAATTATTAAAATGATAATTAGCACATAATATCCCTACATTTTCCTATTTTTGTAAAAAAGTCCCTACCTTTTATTTGTTTGTTATTTTCACCCTTAATTACACATATAATTGCGCAAACTATTATTTCTATCCATTTTCATCCAATTTCTCTATAGAAAGTTGTGAAATGACGAATATACTCTCCTATTTTCTATACGCAAATGCTAGCAACTCCAATTAATTGTTGAATGGTTTCGCCATTACAAACCTTCAACCTTCAGTGGTAAGGCAGACCCATTGGCAGATGAAAAATGGATAAAAGAAATGGAGCAAATCTTCAAATATCTTTCAAGCACTAGAACTGAAGGACAATAACTTGCAGAATTCATGTTGGTTTATGTAGCACGCCACTTGTGGGGGTCCGGCTCATGCATTAGAACTGAAGCACAATAACATGTTCTAACTTGGACTCAATTCAAGACAGAAGTGATGGAAAATGCTTTCCACTAGTTCTACGCCATCGAAAGGAGACAAAGCTTCTTTAACTTGAACAAGGAAAGTTGAAACGAGAGGAATATGAGAGATAGTTTGAACAACTCTATAGATACGCATTGCACCTAGTAGACACAAAAGCAAAGAAAGCAAGGAGGTTCAAACTAGAATTGTGTCCTGAATTGGTGGAATATTGGCATTTTGTCAATTCACCACCTATAGTCAGGTTTTTGCCAACTACCCAAATGATTTTGATTAGATTAGAGATTGACCAAATTTTTCAGCACAGTACCAAGTCTTGAGGAAAACGAAAATGGAATTGGTCCAACGAAGAGAAAAGAGATGGACAGAATGAAAAAATAAATAAAAATTCACTAGATCAAGTTTTAGACAAGTCGTCTCGCTGTGTCCAAAGTGAAACAAAATGATTAGGAGTGAATGTCTGTTTAGGAGTAATGTATGATATTGATAGGGCAATGAAGGTCATATTTCTAAAAAACTGCAAAAAAGCCCCTGAGAGAAAGATAATGAGCAAGAAAAGAAACGGAAGGCTATAGTTTTACTTTAACTCAGGAATGGACATTAGAGGACCAGAAAATTTGTAATTTTGAGGATGAAATATTTTTTAGGAGGTAGATTGTAAAGTCCCGAAAATTTTATAAAATAGAATTATTTGTTCTATAAGCTAAATTCTTATATTTTCAAAAGTTGAAGGACTAGAGCAAAATATGTATCAATTCTTCTATTTTCTTGCGCAAAATAATGAGACTTTGATTGAGCGATATTTAACATATATATTAGGTTAGTTGGGTAGTTCGTATTAAATGACGAACTATGACTCAAGAAAATATTAATTCGGATATGTTAAGCCCAAGTTATTGACACCGTAAGATATTATCTTTTATTGGAAATTAATTTTGTTGGTTAAGGGTTTGATATCATGGCAGCCACGTGTGTATGTGTGTTTGAGTTTAAACTAACATTTTCTTTATTTTTTAAATAGAATTTGTAATTAAGTTGGTAGAATTTGCTGTAACTGTAATTTTATTTTAATTAGGATTGTTGTTAATTGCTAATTGTTATTTTGATATTATTTTCGATATCTATTAAATTTTTATTGAATTATCTGATATAAAAGTATTTAGATAAAATTTGAAATTTGCACATATCCACACTGGAATCTTATCATCTAATTTTAAAATTTGTTGAGTTTGTAATGATTTAAAAATTATTTAAAGTATTTGTCAAAATAAAAAAAAATCATTTTTTGACAATAGAATTGTGAAAACATTAAAATATAGTAAAATAATGTTTGGGGAAATTACTTCTGTCTTTATCGCACTAATCGAGTAACAATTGGAAGAAAACTACTAGAAGATGCCTAAATATTTAAAATATTATGAGAAAATATGAATTGGGAGAGTGAATGTACTATAGACCAAAAATAATTATTTGATAACCACAAAAAATAAAGAATTTTCATTTTTTCTTATAAATAGGTGAAAAAATAATAAATAAAAAACCAGGACAAATTTGAATTCAACTATACTACATCTTACGTGTTATGGATTTGTAATCGAGTGTTGAAAAATACAGTGGGTCGTTTGATCACATGACATGTCTTAGTGTTGTAATGCATTCACATTGGTCGATATTGATTCTTCCTCGTCTAGTAGGTCTGTATTAGTCGCATTTTTGTCTACAGTGTGAAAGGCCTCATCGAAATGTCTAGACATTCACAAGTTGTGCACCGCATCGCAACCACAACAAATGTGTGCGCTCAAAATAGTAATGTTGCTTTTCTAAAGTCGATTATGATTCATCAAGACATTTCCAAACCTTCTTCTAGGCTGGGACGCCTGGTGGGTTGGGCCAAATATTTTAATACTTACAATCACTAATTACACTTCAAGTATGTCATAAATGAAATCATCCGGGTCCACGTAATTATTGGAACCGTAATTGAGCCCTAATGGTTTAGAGTCGAATCTAAGTAATATGATTCAATTATTCAAATGAATAAAAGTAACGTATTTAGGGAAAGTGAA